GGGATTCGCCCTCAAAAAATAAGGGAATCCCTGAGATTGGCATCGTGATGAGGAGGTGCCCAGCATAGGGATAGGGATATGTTCCAGGCTGGTAAACATGGGCAGTCTTCGAGGCATCCTGGGCCGTCTTCGAGGCACCCTGGGCCGTCTTCGAGGCGTCCTGGGCCGTCTTGGCCTCCTGCGAGGCAGCCTTGGGGGTCCCCTGGGGCCCTCAAGAGACCGTCTTGGGGCGTCTGGGGTCTCTCTGGGGCCGTCTCGGGGCCCTCTTGGCCGTACTGTGGGTGTCTGGGGGCCGTCGTGGGGCCGTCTTGGGCCGTCGAACGGCTCGTGGGAAGTTTTGGACCATCTTGGGATCTCTTGGGGGCCTTTTGGACCGTCTGGGGGCCATCGTTGAGGCGGCTTGGGCCGTCCTGGGCTGACGGAAGCCCAAAATCGTTCAAACAAACACCAGGGAATCCTCTTGTGGCCCTTGGGGCTCATTGTGACCCCGTTGGGCCCTCGTCGAGTTATCCTGGGCCGTCTTTGGGGCCATCCTGGGCCGCCCTGGGGCCATCCTGGGCCGTTTTCGAGGCACCCTGGGCCGTCTTGGTGTCCTTGCCTACCTGTATGGGCAGTCTTGGAATCTTGGGACGCGGATCCATTCTCTCAAACCAGGGATCGTGGCCTTGGTGGCGCGGTTCATTTTTTTTGCGAGGGATCGTGGCCTCGGGAGGGGGGGCGGTGCATGCAGGGACCGCGGGCAGCGCGGGGCGGGTGGGTTATATCCTTACTAGAATTAAGTCGGGCGTGTCCCCCTACAGGGGGGCTTTCGACGAAAAATAAAGAATACCCCCACAGTAACCCAAAAAAATCAAAAACTAGTCTGGGGACGTTTTTTTAAGTATGGTTTGACCTTTTGGGGGTATTTGGGGGGTATGTTTTATTTTTCATCGAAAATCCACCTGTAGGGGGGCACGCCCGACAGAAGGCTTTTACCACATAATCGGCGGTGGACAAACCTCCTTTCAATAGATCTCCCCTTAGTGAAAGCGGCCTGGGACCGAAACCGACGGACCTGGACACGCAAAAATGACGGCCGCGACGCCCTCTCGCGAACCGAAAACGGCCGATTGTTTAATCGACGCGTCCGGGTAGGAGGTCTGTCCACCCCCGACATGTGAAGGGGCCCTGGGACACACAAGTAAATACGCACAAATGACAAGATTCCCCATATGTGGCCATGGTTTCTGGGTTTTGTTGCCTTCCCCCCATCTCCCATAGTTTCCCACATTTTCGGGGGAATCGACGATCACTTGTGTTTATGTGTTTTCGATCCCTCCTGAACATAGTTTGTGCCACACTGCTCGCACCGCATAATTTACAACACATAGCCTGGACCACAGAGCTGACGCCACACAGCTTGCACCGCGCGCGTTGCACCGCAGAGCCTCCGCCACACCAGCCACAGCGCCGTGTGCACGCTGACGCGTGGAAGAAAGCCAAGGGCTGCCTGGCAGGGCTTCTGCATTCCAGTTAGGTTAAGTCGGGCCTGTCCCCCTACATGAGGATTGCCGACGAAAAAATACTTCAAACATGCCCCAAAAGGTCAAAACAGATTTATAAAAAAAAGTGTCCCCATACTCTGTTTGGACTATGTTGGGGCATTTTTATTGTTCGTCGGGGGGACACGCCCGACTTAGTTTTAGTAAGGATATAACCCACCCACCCCGCGCTGCCCGCGTTCCCTGCATGCACCGCCCCCCCCTCCCGAGGCCACGATCCCTCGGAAAAAAATGAACCCCGCCACGAGGCCACGATCCCTGGTGAAAGAGAATGGACCCGCGTAGTTTGAAGGGGGCTGGGAGGCCCAGCAAGCAGCTTCGCCTTAGGCGAAGCCAAGCTCCTGATCTGTTGTACCGTAGTAACGATAGTCCCAGTAGGAGGAAATGTGCCATCTTAAGCAATAGGAAGATCCTTTTGGTCTCGATAGCGAGTGTGTGCCTCGCAGTGAGGCACAGTCATATTTGGGCGGCCGGCCGCTTGAGCCGACACGGCCGCGGGCGCACGCTCGCTTCCACTCCTTACGTCCCTCAGCTCGCTTTAGAATCGGGGGGGGGGAGACGAAGCGTGAGCCCGTCGCCCCTATACAGCAGGCACAACAGCCCATGTACACAAGGACAGAAGAGGGAACGGGCCAGAAGAAAGGTGGACCCGCTCGCAAGTTGCCTCGCTTGTACAGTTCTGTACTCGACGCACTCCTCAGGGGGCGTCACAACTGGATGTCTGGCCGGCCCGATATGGACTATGTCTCCTCAGGTAATGCTTGAAGGCCTGTATACCTCCCA